GGTACGGGCGGCCGTAAAATTGGGTGATTTGAGGATTAGGGTTCAGCTGGTGGTGGGCCAATTGGGGATTCTGGAAGCTGGCTGTGTCGGACATGAGCAGGCTACGGTTAGCGGGCCTGACATCGGAATGGGCCAAGCTTTGATGGGCCATAAGCTTTCTCTTGATGTTGGAGTTCCAAAAGTTCTTCACCTCGTTGTCAGTCCTTCCGGGCAGGTGCCTCGCAATCTGAGCCCACCTGCACACAGCGTAAAATTTTAAAAACAAATTTAATAAGAAAAGTAATCTAAAGAAGGCAAACTTTAAATTTTAATTTAATTTAATTTGCATGCATAGTGTTATTAGATTCGTCATGAAAAAACTCTTAATTTTAATTGAGTCTAGTCGAGTCGAGTTCGAGCACCTGTTGCCTAGAACTCGATGAAGCTCGATGATAATGGAAGCTTCTTGTGGAGTGAAATTGCCTCTTTTGAGGTCGGGCCTCAGGTAGTTTATCCACCTCAGTCTGCAACTCTTGCCGCACCTTTGCAGCCCTAAAAATAGCAAATCCAATAAAATCAAGATTTTGATATATAAACAAATGCACCACACTCATATCACATGGTTGCATTTGCATGAACTGTTTTTATGTTCTTTTTTTTTTCATTTTTGCTTTAATTGTGTGTTTGTTTGGAGTTGAGAGAGAGGAAAACGAGAAAAATGAAGCTGAATATTAATTAATTCATGATGACATAGAAGGAGGACATGAGCTGGAAGAAAGAAAGAAGAAAATCAAAATCCCACACACATACCAGCAAGTCGAGGAACTGCGCTCCAGCAGCCATGGCCATGAGCTGCGACGTAATTCATGAGCTTCTCGTCTTCTTCAGGTGACCATAAACCTCTCTTCACTTTTTGCTTCGTGCAACAAGTATGATCCGCCATTTTTACAAATGTGTAGATTTATGTATATATCTTCGTTTTACCTCACACTCGACGGATCAAGCTAAGCACATTGCTCGACGAATCTGTGAGGAAAAAAAAAAGACACACCATCAAGAGCTAGAAAACAAGAGAGGTTTAGATGGAAAAATACGAAACCCTAGCGTCGTGAGCTGTTCGATAAGCGGACGATGGAAAAGAAGCTGACTTGTCGAAATAAATGTGCAGAGAGAGTGCTTAAAAAGCTTTAGTTTTTTATTTTTACTATACCATGGCCATGAGCTCGGGCCCATATATATTTATTAAGTTTTTATGGGAGTGAAAAATATACATAAAGCAATTAGCTGCTGCAACTGATTTTTCTTACGAGGAGATGAAGGAAGGATGTTTTATAAGGGGGAGAAATTGGCTTGTGCAGTACACGAGTCAGCCATGCAGGCTTTTCAGGGTCCCATTTGTTTTACATATATCCTTTGAAGTTTTTTTGAACAAGTGATGGAAATTTCGTGATTATGTCTATGGGAGATTTTACGGTCTCGTTACGAAATCATTCCGTCGTGGTTTGATCAACTAACCACGACGGTTACATGATGACTAACGATTACAAATCCTGGCGGAATGATTCCGTAACGGACTGTAGCATTTCCCTATGTCTATACTGAACTATACAGCTATGTTTGTTAAGTAACTTTGTGCTCTTTTTTTTTTTGTTTAAGTACACACATTATATACTATATCTATGTATCTATATATATGAGGTAATTGGATGTAGTCTAAATAGTTTGTATTTGATTCTTTATATGTGACTCTAGTTTTGGTTTTAGTCTCTTAACATGTCCCATTTTTGTTTTGGTTCGTTATCTTGGAAAAGAAAAACTAAATTTTTGGTCCTCTGATCGGCTATAAACAAATCATATATATATATATTTGTTCATTTATCTAGCAATGTGAATAACCAAAGAAATGGCTTAAATTTTTTAATCTGATGTGGGTCTAGAGTCGAGAACGGAGATCAAATGGAGAAAACATTAAGGTTTGTACAAAGTTTATGTTGATCGATAGTCGAACGCTAACAAAGTTCGCGCAAAAGAGAACCATTTCGGTTTGGTAATTAATTTTTCACTATAAAATGAGATGTACATTTACAAATTTTGGATCTTCCAAACAAATTAACTATATGGTTTGTAGTTAATTAATGAGTTGAATCAACATTAGAAGCATCATTAGGTGACCTTTATAAAGATTAGTAGTGTACAATTAAAATCATCATATCTTGAATTATACCCTAGATTAGTCTAGCTACATTAAGTACATATGATATAAAATTCTTTTGGTTTTCCAATTTTGGTTGAACAATGTTTGATGCAATGTTATAATTAACTCAAGCTAGTAGCTAGGCTGTAATCACAATAGTTTCATTACTTCTTTAGACCATATACACATATACATAGTAATATATTTACGGAAGATGCTACTATCCCATTATATGGAATCATTCAGTCTGGGTTCGTAACCGTTAGATCAATTATTTTCGACGGTTACATGATGATCTAATGGTTACAAACTTCGACGGAATAGTTCCGTAACGGGACCTTAATACTTCCCTATATTTATATGAAATACAGTCAAACTGTATTAAATGTATTTAAAAGTTTAAATAACTAATAAGTGAATTGTGGCTTTACCAGCACACATCTAACAGCTCTACTCATTTGTACTTACTTGCACAATTAATGCCTCTCCAAGTAAAGCCAATTCTGAGTTTATTATTTATGGACAAGACTAATTATATCAACATTTTCATGAGCAAAAATTTCGATTTTTTTTTTCAGTAAAATAGAAAAGTTTTTTTTTTTTTTTTTTTTTTTTTTTTTTTTTTTTTTTTTTTTTTTTTTTTTTTTTTTGTAACGGCATTTGACAGCAATAAAAAACTTGCAAATTAATACACAGAAAACTAAGAGTAAAAAAAGGGGGTTCTCTTTAATTTTATTTAATTTATTTCCCTTCCAGAATTTGGCCAGAAAATAAGAGCTGACCAATTTTGACAAATAATATTGAACAGTACTCTCTGTGACTGTGTGTGTCTGTGTGTTTGAAATAGCGGCAAAAAATTCAATTTTGGTCCGTTAACTTGTCCATTGTCCACTTTTGGTACACTATCTTTCCCCTCATAAAAAATAGTCCATTATGTTACACTTTTCATCAGTTTTAGTACAGTACTTCATTTGGCGGGATTACGAGATGACGTGGACCGGGATTGAAACTACGTGGAGGGATAAGATATTGACGTGGTAGGATAAAAACCTGATTTCTCATCTCGTAATCCCGAGTCACGGAATGAGTGTACTAAAACTGATGAAAAGTGTAACATAATGGATCATTTTTTATGAGTAGAAAGATAGTGTACCAAAAGTGAACTATAGACAAGTTAGCGGACAAAAATTGAATTTTTGCCGAAATCAGATGGTCCATGTGTTCTTCTCTTTGGAAAGATTATATTCTTTTTTCAGAAAAAAGCCATTTTTAATCTCACGTAAAAACCGTGGCCATTTTTTTTTTTTTTTTTTTT